ATGTCATTATTTTGTTTCTATCTGACAGTGGTACAGAGGGTGGGGAGTGTGGGTTGTAGGGATATGTGTATAAGAACACAGAACTGAAGACAAAGAGACGATTGTGAAAATGTTTGAAACCATCAGGGGCTGAACTAAGGCAGAAACCCTAGGGAAGAAGAAGAGGCGGTAGATAAAGAAGTCCCCATGGTAAAAATAGCTAACATTTGTTGAGGATTTTCTTTGGGCCAGGTAGCGATCTTAGCATTGTATATGAATTTAATTTTCTCAACCACCATATAAGGCAGACCTGTTATTATACCCATTTTAAAGATGAGGCAACTGAATGTGGTAGTCCGACTACTGCTGCCCCCATCCCCCAGGCTGCCACCCCTAATACCCAAACCTGTGAATATACTGTATTATATAGCAGAAGGAGGTTGTGATTGAGATAGGATTCTGAGATGGGGAGATTATCCTGGATTATCCCTGTGTGCCTGATGTAATCATAGGGCCTCTATATGAGCGGGGCAGGAGGATCAGCCTGAGAGTGAGAAGATATAAGGACAAAAGCAGAGGTCAGAGAGTCGAGAATACGCCACACAGCTGGCTTTGAAGATGAAGGGGCCACGAGCCCAGGAATGTGGGTGGTTTCTAGAGGGCCTTTCCCTGGGAACGTTGTGTAATGAGACTCCTCCCAGTTACTCACCCTGTTCACTTTCTTTTTGTATTCGTCTTTTTTTTTTTTTTTTTTTGAGACAGAGTTTCCCTCACTTGCCCATGCTGGGGTGCAGTGATGTGATCTCAACTCACTGCAACCTTCACCACCCAGGCTCAATGGTTCCTGTTCTTCAGCCTCCCAGGTAGCTGGGATTACGGGTTTATGCCACCATGCCCGGCCAAGTTTTAGTAGAGACAAGTTTTCACCCTGTTGGCCAGGCTGATCTCAAACTCCTGACCTCAGGTGACCCACCTGCCTTAGCCTCCCAAAGTTCTGAGAGTGCAGGCATGAGCCACTGCACCCAACCTCACTTTGTTTAGAGTGGTTATCTACTTTGTTTAATGGTATGACTATCTTTCTTTTTTGAAAAGCAGTTTCCCTTGTTAGAGTATCATTTCAATGAAGGCTATTTCTGTGTTGTCTGCCATTGGCCAGTGCCTAACACTGTGTCTGACATAAAAAATGCACTCAATAAATGTTTGCTAGGCTGGGTGTGGTGGCTCATGCCTGAAATCCTAGCACTTTGGGAGGCCGAGGCAGGTGGATTGCCTGAGTTCAGGAGTTTGAGACCAGCCTGGGCAACATGGTGAAACCCTGTCTCTACTAAAAAAAAAAAAAAAAAAAAAAAAATTAGCCGGGCCTGGCAGTATGTGCCTGTAGTCCCAGCTACTCGAGAAGCTGAGGCAGAATAGTTAGAACCCAGGAAGCAGAGGTTGCAGTGAGCCAAAATGGCGCTACTGCATTACAGCCTGGGTGACAGATTGAGACTCCATCTCTAAAAAAAAAAAGTTTGCTGAAAGAATATAGGAAGGGAATTCTCAAACTTGCTCAGAGCTCAGGATGGCATATTTCCCGGCTGTCAGGGTGTCCTCTGAGGATCTTCAGACATTGAAATAAAGACTTACTATCACTTTGTGGCATAAATTTGTGGCATGGAGGTGTGCTGCTCAGATGCCCCTTCATTGAAGAATGTATTGACTCAGGTGCTGGAACATGGTCCACAGACAGTCTTTAGTTATCAGCGATTATCTCAACTGCAGAAAACTGCCTTGCTCAAGCCTACCTTTCTCAGGATGGCCCACACCCAGTGGGTGATTAAGATGGGTATAGATGCCTGGCCATTTCAGTCTAGCATATGACAACTCTGACAGGCTGTTTTTAGCTCCAGAGCTCCTTGTGGGGTTTTCCAAGATTGTCATTGACCCGAATTACCTTTGACCTCTGCCTCACCTGATGCTGCTGCCACTGTCTTTCCACAGGTGTGGATCCTGAGGACTCTTCCTTAATAAATATCCTGCACATTAAACTATCTTGGAGTCTGCTTCCTACAGACCCCAATCTTGAACCATCACTAAGCATAGAATTTTATCTTGAGCTAAATAATTATAAACAAGCAGAAACAGAATCTAAAACTTCAGAAAATTTTATGGAAGAGTTTAAGATTGAGGAAATCCTATAGATTAATGATTATCATTTCACCGATTTAGAAAAAGATGGCTATTATTAAAGACTCAGCTGGGAGAGGTGGCTTATGCCTGTAACCCAATACTTTGGGAGGCCGAGGCGGGCTGATCACCTGAGGTCGGAAGTTCAAGACCAGCCTGATCAACGTGGAGAAACCCTGTCTCTACTAAAAATACAAAATTAGCTGGGCATGGGGGCAGGCACTTTTAATCCCAGCTACTCAGGAGGCAGAGGCAGGAGAATTGCTTGAACTCAGGAGGTGGAGGTTGTGGTGAGCTGACATTGTGCCATTGCACTCCAGCCTGGACAGCAAGAGCAAAACTCTGTCTCAAAAACAAACAAAAAATCAAAAAGTCTCATCAGCAGAAGCCTTTAACACACTGATGTCCCCCAAGAAACATGCCTGACAGCTGGCAATTTTGATTTTCAGGAGCCTTTTCAGAACCAGAATTTAACATGTCATCTTTCTCTCTCATCTGCTCTCCTTGTTGGGTTTTCCGTGCCCATGAATGACACTAACATCATTCCAGATGATCAGGCCTAACCCTAGGAGTTGTTCTTCAGACCTCCCTTTCCTGTGTTCCCTAATAAATTACCAAGTCCCAACACATTGTCTCCTAGGTATCTCCTGAGCTTGTCTCTCTGATCCATGACCATCATTCTTGATTCAAGTCACCCGTTACTCCTCTCTCAGCTTAATGAACAACTCTCTTGTTCTCTTATTTTGTCTCCTTCCAATTTGTTTTTTTCTGTCCTGGGATGATCATTGCCTAGCTTAAAACTCTTTGAGTAGCTCCTCATCACACTAAGCACGAAGTATATTACCCCTTAACAAGACATCCAAAGCCCTCTCTAATTAGGTTTTTCCCTATTTTTTGATACACCGCAGATAGGTCCTTGTTAACCTTGCCCCTTCTGCACTGCCTCCTTTGTTTTGGTTCCGATAAAATTCTCTAAAATATTTATGCTTGTGCAGAGGCCCATTATGGTCTGGATTCTCTTTGGGGCTCCAGCCTTTAATGTTGCCGTCATTCCTTCTTCCTAGTCTTAGCCATATTGAATAACACGCAGCTCCTCAATATGCCTTGTCTTTGTTTGCCTCTGGGCCTTTGGGCCTTTGACATGTTGCTACCTCTGTCTGTACCATTTTCCCCTCCTCTACCCACCCACCTCTTTAGCCTTCTTCACCATGTTGATTTCTAACTACTGCCACCCTCTGTGGATTCCATGAAGATAGATTCCGTGCCCCTGCTCCTATGTGCTCTTATAGCACTGTGTGCTTGGTCCTTTTGATACACAGTATAGTTGTACTATGTGTAATTGCCTCTAATCCTGACTGTCTCAGATACTAGATGAAACTCCTTATTTTTTATTATTATTATTTTTTTGAGACACAGTCTCTCTCTGTTGCCCAGGCTGGAGTACAATGGTGCAACCTTGGCTCATTGCAACCTCTGCTTCCCAGATTCAAGCAATCCTCCTGCTTCAGCTTCCCAAGTAGCTGGGATTACAGGTGCCTGCCACCACGCCTAGCTAATTTTTGCATTTTTACTAGACATGGGGTTTCACCATGCTGGCCAGGCTTGTCTTGAACTCCTGACCTCAAGTGATCCATCTGCCTCAGCCTCCCAAAGTGCTGGGATTACAGGTGTGAGCCACTGCGCCTGGCAAAACTCCTTACTCAGTGATGTCCCAGAATTAACACAGTGCCTAGCACAGAGAAGGTACTTGGGAAACATTTGTCGATGAATGAATAAATGAATGAATAACAAGTCTCATGAAAACCCTAATACACAGGCAGAGTAGACATTTTGTGGCCATATTTTAGAAATATGGGGAATAGAGTTTGACTTAGTCAAGGATATACTGCATTTGGGTCTTCTGATTGCAAATCTAGTGCTATCTACTATACAATGTCTCAATTTTTCATTCATTCCACATTATAGTTTTCCACAGATACTTGAAAGCCTGCTCTGTGTTGGGCTCTATTATAGGTGCTCCATGGTATCTCTTATGGTGCTTACATTCCTGAAGGAAAGACTGACAGTTAAACAAAGACTGGCAAGTAACAAAATAATTTTGGGTAGAAGTAAGTTCTGTAAAAGAAGTATGATGTAGTGATGTGACAGAGTGGACAAATTGGGTGAAGGTGGTTCTTTAGGAACGGGGTAAGGAAAGGTCCATTGGAGGAAGTGGTAGCTGAACTGTGATCTGAATGAAGAGAAGGAACCACCCATGAGACAAGCCAAGGAAGAACCTTCCTAGCAAAGGGAAGAGCATGTACAAAACCCTGAAATAGAATAGAACTCAGTGTGCTCAAAGATCAGAAAGAAGGCCAGAATGGTGGGATCACAGTAAGCTAATAGATCTGTTCCCCATTACTTGGAGAAAGTGATGGAAAATATGGTCAGAGATGGCATTGGTCTAGATCATCTTCCTGGCTGGTAGATCCTAGCCAGGAATTTGGATTTCTTTCAAAATGAAATGAGAAGCCAATGAAGAATTTAAAGCAGGGACTGGCAACTACTCAATCCAGAATATGATAGACTCAGCGTCCTAATGATATAGGAGAACTTGGTGATTAGAGTTTCAGGAAATAAAATCCCATGTAGTTGGGAAAATGGAGTCTAGTGTGATAAAAGCTCTGGAAGCAGTGTGGACTTGGTTACCATTTTCCCTTGAGAATTATAGATACTTTAAAAAGCCGCGCGACTATGGCTTTTTAAAGTATCTATAATATAAAGTATCTAAAGTATCTTAACCAGTGTGGACCTGGTTACCATTTTCCCTTGAGAATTATAGATACTTTAAAAAGCCACGACTTTCTGACCAATACCTTCATACGAATAAATTCCTAGTCTGAATTTCCAGCCTATTTCCAATTGCCTGCTGGACAGATCTTCCACAATGTCCTGCAATTCATACCTAAAGGCAAATCTATTGGCTTGCCCACCTACACTAAGATTCAGCGACATGCACCACCTTTATTAGTGATTTACTGAAATTACAGGCATCCTAAATGACAATCCAATTACAGAAGCCCAGATGATCACCACGGCTGCTCCTTCTACCACCTAAATATGTTTCAGATTTGTCTTCATTGTCTCTGTCTCTTTTCAGGTTATCATCAGCTATCACCAGGACTTCTGCAGCAATCTCCTACCTTATCACCAGCTTTCTTTACTCCAACCACTCTTTCAACTACTACCAGAAATAATCTTATTTTTTTAATCGAAATTGCTAGCTTTTTAATGTTTTATCTCCACTACAAAAGTAATAACTTCATTATTGTTAAATAGCTAAAATTCTGTCACCCAATAAAAACCCAATGTGCATTCTCGTAGAACTTTCTTCAACTATACAGATATGCACAACCTTGTTATATTTTTATTTTATCAAAAATTGGATTGTAATATAATTCTATTTGGTAATCTGCATTTTTATTTGATAGCGCATGGGTATATTTCTAAATGAGTAAACATGCTACATCATTTTTGGTGGTTTTAAATTATTTCATTATATAAGTGTACTAAAAGTTATTGAAATGATTTTCTTTTGATAGATGACTTGGTTTGGCTGTGTCACCACCCAAATCTCATCTTGAATTGTAGCTCCCATAAATCCCAGGAGTCATGGGAGGGACCTGGTGGAAGATAATTGAATCATGGGGATGGTTCCCCCATACTGTTCTTGTGGTAGTGAATAATTCTCATGAGATCTGATGGTTTTATAAGGTGTTTCTTCTTTCTCTTGTCTCTCAGTCTCTCTTGCCTGTCACCATGTAAGATGTGCATTTCACCTTATGCCATGATTGTGAGGCCTCCCCAGCCACATGGAACTGTGAGTCTATTAAACCTCTTTTTCTTTATAAATTATCCAGTCTTGGGTATGTCTTTATCAGCAGCATGAAAACGAACTAATACAATAGCCATTCAGGTTATTTTGCTTTTATCAATGATGTGTTAAATGTCTTTCTAGATTTACCTATGTATATCCCTTCTTTCTGCTTCTTAGGAAAAATTTACTTAAAATAGATTTTTTTTGCCATATAAATAGAACTTTAATAAGAAAATATTTCATATCTGTTTTCTAATCTCTCTGTGTAAAGTGGAATTCTTGATCACATACAATTTCTTTTAATATTTTTGTAGTTTTGTGATTTACAATTAAGTTTTAAATTTTTTACTTGGAAATCCTTTGGCATGAGGTATGAATTCATGGTCTGAACTTCACCTTTCCTAACAGGTTTGAACAGCTTTCTCAATATCATTTGCAGTTAAATGCAACCTTTCTCTGATGATTGGAAGGGCTGACTCTGTCATACACTAAATTGTTACATATACCTTGGGTCTGGGTTTTCTATTTTAGTCTATCAGCCTAGCTACAAATTTAGGCAAAAATGCCATGTTGTCTTCAATGTAGTAGTGTGCTAACAGTTTTCAATATTTGGTAGGCCAAGTCCTCCTATTTTACTCCTCCCCTTTAATTTATCTATTTATTTATTTACCTTCTGGCAGAGGCTTTCCAGCATTTCTTTCCCCACATTTTATTTTCAAAGATAATTTAATACCGTTTTGTAACATGTTTTTAAAGAAAACAAACATGTTGAGATTATTATGTTGATTGTAATCAATTTATACATTATTTTAGATGAGTTCAGCAACTTCAAAATTATCTTTCTTTCTTTCTTTTTTTTTTTGAGATAGAGTTTCACTCTTGTTGCCCAGGCTGGAGACAGCAATGTTGCGATCTCGGCTCACTGCAACCTCTGCCTTCTGGGTTCAAGCGATTCTCCAGCCTCAGCCTCCTGAGTAACTGGGATTACAAACACCTACCACCACATCCAGCTAATTTTTTGTAACTTTTAGTAGAGCCAGGGTTTCACCATGTTGGCCAGATTGGTCTCGAACTCGGGACCTCAGGTTATTCATCTGCTTCGGCCTCCTAAAGTCCTGTGATTACAGGCGTGAGCCACTGCACCCAGCTCAGAACTATCTTTCTGAAATAAACCAGGTTCATTTATTTTCTGCTTAAAAACCTGTTTAGCTCCTACTAAAGGAAAACTGTTTCTTGGCGTGGCATTTAACACCTTACATATTTTGACCTCTGCATACCTTTTTTTGCCCTTCAAAGATTTAGAAAATAAAGTGAATTCTTGAGATTACAATACTTCAAATTATATGGAGTCATCATTAGAATTTCAAATTTGAGGAAGGGGGGTTGGGCAGTTGAGAATGCATTGGTAGATTGAAAATGTGATTTGGAAATAGTACTTACCTCATTTGCAGCTGAAGCTGGAGCCAGGGCCCCTAGACTTGATTGCATTTTGGCCTATAAATACACCCAGTGGAAGAACATCAGTGCTAACCTACAAGCACTCCAAGAATATGTGCATCATCAAGGCTATCTTACTTTTAAGTCTTGGGAAAACTGTGACTTTCTAAAAGTCTGGCCCCTGCTTCTTGACTTGAGGAAGAAAATTCCACTGACTGCAAAATAAACAGTTGGGCTGCTTTGTGTTTAGTTTGCAGCATAATCTCCAAACCCTGGCCCCAGTAAAATTTTCTGTTGGCTCTTTTATTCCTCCTCACCCTTCCTTATTCTCCGTTTGATTCCCTCTTCTCTGCCATGTACAAATCTGGTGGTGGAGATCTGGGTCAGTGATAGTGAATGGTTAAGAAGGAAATGACCGGTAGCTCATGCCTGTAATCCCAGCACTTTGGGAGGCCGAGGCGGGTGGATCACGAGGTCAAGAGATCGAGACCATCCTGGTCAACAGGGTGAAACCCCGTCTCTACTAAAAATACAAAAAATTAGCTGGGCATGGTGGCGCATGCCTGTAATCCCAGCTACTCAGGAGGCTGCGGCAGGAGAATTGCCTGAACCCAGGAGGCGGAGGTTGTGGTGAGCCGAGACCGCGCCATTGCACTCCAGCCTGGGTAACAAGAGCGAAACTCCGTCTCAAAAAAAAAAAAGAATCAATACCAATCTTTCTCAATGTTTCCAAAGAATTAAAGAAAGGAAACACTCTCAAACTCATATGAGGCCGAAATTACCTTGATTCCACAACCAAAGCCACAAGAAAAGAAAACTAAAGACCTTTGCAGCTTCTGTAGCAGCCCTAAGCGTAAACAAAACAAATCAACGGAACACTATCTCAGCAGTAGCAATTACACGGACTGCATTTCCTCGCTGACAGGAAGCAATGGCTGTAACCTAAATGGCTCTTTCAAAGGCTCTGACCTCCCTGACCTCTTCAGCAAACTGGGCCTGGGCAAATACACAGATGTCTTCCCCCAACGAGGTATCTATCTTCAGACATTCCTCACTCTCACAGATCAGGATCTGAAGGAGCTGGGAATAAGTACTTGTGGTGCCAGGAGGAAAATGCTGCTTGCAATTTCAGAACTAAATAAAAACCGAAGAAAGCTTTTTTTTTTTTTTTTTCTTTTTGAGACGGAGTTTCGCACTTGTTACCCAGGCTGGAGTGCAATGGCGCGATCTCGGCTCACCGCAACCTCCGCCTCCTGGGTTCGGGCAATTCTCCTACCGCAGCCTCCTGAGTAGCTGGGATTACAGGCACGCGCCACCATGTCCAGCTAATTTTTTGTATTTTTAGTAGAGACGGGGTTTCACCCTGTTGACAAGGATGGTCTCGATCTCTTGACCTCGTGATCCACCCGCCTCGGCCTCCCAAAGTGCTGGGATTACAGGCGTGAGCCACCTTGCTCGGCCAAAAATATTTTTAATTGATTTATTCTTCAACTGTTCTTTGAGACATTGATAACATGTAAGAATTCAAACACAAAAACGCTCTTGTAGGATGTAGACTATGATTTTTTCAGACATCTAGCTAGGATATTGATATTCACAGGGTACTGTTTATATATACCATGTTAGCTGAAAAAAATCACATAAACAGTCACAGTATTTAAGAATTGGATTTTGTGGTTACATTGCTAACACTGAGATGTACAAACAACACCTTCATTGATTCAAACGTTGGGAGAAGAGTAATTGGCATGGGTCTTCAAACTCCAGAGTTTTCATTTGGTCAGTGGCTTCAGGTTTCCTTCCAAACAGTCTCATTGGAGAGATGCGAAAATGGGTGCAGTAGATCAGCTTATGGGCTTTTTAACCATTATTTCTTTACCTCTTCTTTACTAAAATTGATATTGAGCAATGAAGTATTGAAAAAATGAACAGAACAAAAATAGGAATTGAAGATATGTTCAATTTATAGATGAGATTATCACCATTGAATGATTTTTTTTTTTTTGAGATGGAGTTTCACTCTTGTTGCCCAGGCTGGAATACAATGGCATGACCTTGGCTCACTGCAACCTCCACCTCCCGGGTTCAAGCAATTCTCCTGCCTCAACCTCCGGAGTAGCTGGGATTATAGGTACAGGCCACCACGGCCAGCTAAATTTTGTAGTTTTAGTAGGGTTTCGCCATCTTAGCCAGGCTGGTCTAGAACTCCGGGGCTCATGTGATCTGTCTGCCTCAGCCTCTCAAAGTGCTGGGATTACAGGGCGTGAGCCACCTAGCCCAGCCACCACTGAATGATTAAAAAGCTTGGCATCATAGTCCACATAAGTTGAAATTGAATTGCCATAAGGCAAAATTATAAAATTACACCAAAAGTTTCTAGAGCCTTATTTCCAATGTATGTTGTTTTCAGGATGTCCTGTGTGTGTTTGTGCAAAGATAATATCCCTACTTTGTGATTATTTCTAAAATGAAGCTGCAAAATTGTTACTATTAACTGCTAAACAATTGACACATTTTTGAGAAATTAAAAAAAAAAAATCCAGAATAGCTATTTCAAAAAACATGGTTATACTGTAATAATAATTAAACAAAAAATAAGAAGGGAAATACAGAAGACATGTACAATACAATTTTCATCCTTAAGATATGTCACAGGCCACACATGGTGGCTCACGCCTGTAATCCCAGCACTTTGGGAGGC